GTTTTAAAATGTTTAAATTTGAACCACTGAATTAATAAAGTAGCAGAAATAAAAATTATTATGGGCCGCATCAGCTAATAAAACCTAAGATACATATTAAGCGATTTAAAAACGTGTGCAAATAAATCTGAAAATTAGAGAAATTATGCAGAACAGCATGAGGTTTATCACATAGAAATCATAACATAATAAAAAGTTCTAGATGTATTGGTACACATAGAAATAACTTGTGGAATAATATTTATATATGTATACAATACAATCACATTGTTTGAAAGGAACAATCTTCTTGTATTGCACTCTTCTTCCAAGCACGTTTTTAGCACCTCAGTAGTATATTACTATCTAATTGTATTTTTTCAGATGTGAATTATGGGCGAAGTACTGTTTTCCTCATGAATCTTGGTGGTCACCAGAATTTCAAAACAATCTTCATTCTAGGCATTTAATGTTGTGCACTAAACGTTTTAAGAAATCATCATTCATTGATAATTTTGGAAAGAGGCTAGTCAAATCTGCAGTGATGTATGTAAATGAGGAATGTGATAAGGTTAGTTAATCTTTCTTTTGTTACTATCTACATTTTTTACTTTTGTGTGGCTTTTGTCATACTACAGTGAAAATATTATCTAGTTAACAAACGGTGGTAGCAGATTGAGTGGTGATTTATAAGGGTATGCGACGTAACCTACCATTACTTCTCAACCATAAAAAAACAAAAGATATAAACTTTAAAAAAAAGTTATCTTTTATTTTAAAAAAAAAAACCTTATCCAAACTAGGATTTTCTCCTCTTTGTGGAGGCAGTTTACAAACATAAATTGGATGAGGACAAACAACCCCCGGCACAATTATTTATAGGCCTTGGGTCAATTTAAAATCGGTGGCAGAAAATGTGACTGTAAATTTCGAAAACAAAAGAAAATAAAATTCTGTTTAACTTAGTTGTGTAGGTATTTATGCTATGTAGATATCATTGTTAAATGCAATATCGTGGTTGGGCACGATGTCTTGCCACTATTTTTAGATTTTAAAAGGAATTTACTAGTGCAGGGTAAAAAAAATTACAACTCTGTTACCATCATATATTTATTCATATTTAAACAACAAACAATTATTTTTAGAAACATTCTTTGTTATGAACATTAATTAAGTCTTTACTCTCATGTTCAAAATGCAAAATTACACAATAGTTCTTCTTAAGTAGGAACAGTAATGGAAGTTAAATATACTCTGTTACTTCCTTTGTTTTAATGATCAAATTTTCACTATAAACTATGTAAATTGAATTAAATTATTAAAATATAATGATGATTATATTTAATTTTATTATTATTATATTATATAATTAATAAACAATGCATAGAGTCAGGTGTCAGCTTTACATAAAATTCGAGACATTACTCTTATATATTTAGGGACACAAAAGTAACAAAGTTGTAGGAACAATAACATAGTTGTACTATTCGCAACAAATTTATGAACTACTATCACAAAAAACAATATTTTTGGCTATGAATTGTTTTAAGAAGTTTAGAAACTTAATTAGATTATAAAACTTAAGGAGAAACAGCTAAAAAATCTTATTGAGATCAAATTAAACCTAAGCTGATAACTTATTTTTCAAATATCTCTAGTGGAGTATGGAACTGGTAATATACCCTTTTGCCTTTATTTACTTTTTAGGTACTGAAACAACTCTTATGAAACTCTCATATTGTTCATATGATATATCATTTTAAACTAATTTGTATGTTTTTCTAGTATTGTCAACAGAATTTAAAAAGACAATTTTTACTTCACCATCATCGTCTACTTCGCTTAATGCTTTGCCTAGATAAACACTTACTTTCAGAATTGTAAACTTTAACTAAGACCTAGACTCCTTCTTTGATTTTACTTGGATGAATATTTTCTTTATGAATCAAGTGATTCTCATCATTTTTTTCTTTAGACAAGCAGGGTTGATCTGATGCCTTATCTTTTAATCGTAGCAAAGGATTATCATCATCTGATTCCGAACTCGAACTGTAAATTACATTGTAAAAATATTTCCTTTTCTGTTCAATCAAATTACTTATATCCGCTAGATTAGTAGAATTACTCCTTTGATTCTTCGACTGTATCCTTTAGTAGACAATAGTTTTTTGGATTCATTCATGAGGAGAAACCAAGCTAGCAGAAACAGCTCAACTCTCGATATTTCAGCGCTCCCACTTCTTCTGTAATACACTAGTAGTACACTTGATGTAATTTCATTATACCATAGAAAGAAACAATTTCTGCTGGAATTTCATTCGTGATTCTTTCAATATCATTATTAGTTCAAGATTGACCTTAACTCTACTACTATCTTTCAGAGACTGATAGAACGAAGACGCTATCAGAATGTCTTTCCCAACAGCAACAAGCTGGTCAGCAGTCCGTTTTAGAAAGCCACCAACACCAACAGCTGCTCCTTTGCCGTGTCCCGACTCGAAAAAATTCCATGTAGGCTTGGTGAGGTTGTACTTTGAAAAAAGTTTTGTCCATATTAAGCAGAAGTTTTGATTCTGGCGGTACTGAGTAGCGGGTCATCTGAAAATATGTGTATCACTTTTATCTTAGGGGATTGGTCTTGAATTGAGGAAAGTATAGGATGAAGGTGACTCCAGATTGCCGAAGGGCCGTGAGAGAGGTTACCTGATACTGTACAAAAAGACTTCACCTCTATGTTTCGATTTTCCAAGCTTCGCTTATACAATACGCCAGTATGTAAGGATACCTGGTTACGAGTATCACGAAAGTGGTGTGATTGTATCACTTCATGGAACTTGCAATTGTAATTTTCACTGAAATCTACGTGTAGCGCTATTTTTTCTTCTGTCAATCCATCTATACAAGATCTGTAGTTTCTATACTGAGTTGAGTCATGTCTTTTATTAAGCGTTTCTTTTTATGATATCTCTCTAAATCCTTCTTCTTAGTTTCCGCTACCTCTTCAGGGTTTTATTTGCACTTTTCTTTATAGCGCCGCTGCTTTTCAGCAGCAGTGAGAGCCATAGCGAAGTACTATGTATTATCTAGAACAAATGATGTAATTTATTAGATAGCTATTATATAATATTGATTCCTACTAACATAGAAGCAGAGATACGGATATACAGACGCCAACGATGGCTTGTAACAGCTTAGTAATAACAACTCTGTTACCTCTCTACAACTCTGTTACCAGTAGCTAGTAACATAGTTGTGCAGTAACAGAATGGTAAATTTAACTTTAGTGACATTTTTTTTAGAAATGAAAGTTTATTATGTACAAAGAAAAGCACATTCGATATATCTTACACTAGAGCTACTTCAATAATATAAAACTATACGCAAATATCTGAATACTTACGCGAAAACACCGGTAACAGAGTACACACAGAATAAAACCACGAGCCTCACACCGCAGCCATCGGATAAATGAATCGTGTACCCGCGCCTCAACCGCCGCAAACCGTACGGATAGAACAGTAGAAATTTAAAATAATCGTACAAGCTTCAATTAATTTATTTAATATGGATGAAGTATGTTTTTAAATGTGTTATGATTGCTTTATTACACTAGCTTTCAAACATAACAATTACATTGAATTGATAAAAAGATATTATGATTTTCGCATGATGCACTGCATATGGGACAGAATTTTTTTGTATGGAAAACAACTATGTTACCAAGAATGACCACTCTGTTACTTGATAAAAGTGGTGATAAATCAATAATAAAATTCATTTTTCTTGAGAATAAGCTTAGTAATTCGCCCCATATTTGACAAATTCAATAACATTATAACAATTTAATTAATATCACCGAGAAGAAAATATTTTTACTCAGGGACGACTTTATCTGCAACCAATTTTAAATTGACCCCCTTACAAATACTTATTCTGTGCAGCATTCGAACCTGTGACCGCCGCAACTCAATGCTAGCCACTGCTCCGCGAGCTGTCAATGTTGTTTAAATGACATGATTATAATTTAGTTACTTACAGAATATATTTACAAATAAAAGAAATTGTTAAAATAGTGTCTTAAAAATAGGATGGTGGTGGTAATGGTGTTAAAGCAACATTCATTAAAAAAAACAAGTTGTATTTAATGTTTATAAATTTATAAGGCTGTTTGAAATTTAGAGATTGGTTGACCAATGCTGGGATACATGATATAAATAATGATTTGATAATCTCTAATTTTCAGATCATATTAGCTGACCTTAATTTGGAACAAAGGAATGTCATTCAACATATTGCAGGTCCATCAACTAATAAACAACCACTGTCTGAAAATATTCAGAAGACTATAACTGTTTCAAATGTATTTGAGCCTGTTGCGGGTCCGTCAAAATGTATACAACCCTTGTGTGAGAATGTAAATTATAAAACCATTCCTGATAAAACTAGTGATATTCCTCAAGTAACTGAGAATATCAACCCTGTTGCTGCTGCAAATCCATCCACGAAAAACAAAAAGGATAAAGATATGTTGATAAAAATGAAATATCATCTGAGAAAAATTAACAGGCTTCAAAAAACTGTAAAGCATCTAAAGAATGAAGCATTTCTCAAAGTATTGAGCAAAAATGATTCCGTAAACGAAATATGAAAATGTAAAATATCCCCCTCTTTTGCATTATTTTTGCAAGAAGAATGGCAAAACTATAAAAAAAAATCAAAAGGTCGAAGATGGAACATGGACTCCAAAATAATAGCACTAAGACTGTATAAAAGGTAATTATGTGGGCTCCAGCCAGAGGTTGCAAAAAAAAGCAATCTTTATTTAATATATATTTAATTTAAAGTAATTATTACAATTAATTCTTATAACTAAGTGAGGTGACTCTAATTCGATGTTTGAATGTAGAATGGATTCACACGGTAAAATATTAGATCCAGGTAATATAAGACAGTAGACACGTTATGCTGACACGGCGCCTCGTGATCGTCGTAAGCCGATGCAACGCAGCAGATTGCCTGGATTAGGGCTGCGTAACACCTCCCCCCGAAGAACAGCGACTATGGAAGACCTTGGTCGTGAATTGAGCTGGGAGTTGATCGAGATCAATCTTCTCAGTGTCTGGAACAGCGTATACCCTTAATGATTTAGGATGGTCCTCTTCTGAGTTCCTTTGCGTACCTCCAGTTGGCTTCGGCTTGTATCTTCTATAGAGTATGCATAGAATCAGTGCACCTGCACTTATTATTAATGCGTAAAATGGTATTGTAGTATGATATAGACTGTAGTCATCGTTTCTTCTTAAATTCAATGGCGATTGCTGGGATATTTTAGTGTTCGTTGCATGAAGATGTTGGAGGTTTATTGAATTTAGTTTATATGCCGATGCAGAAGATGGGATGCTGGTGTGTTCCTCAGGTATGTCCATTATCTTTAAGGCTTGTCCCTTCAATCGATCTTTAGTATTTGAGATCGAGAATAGTGGCGTTTCTATGTAGCATTTCAGAGGGACAATAACGAGATAACTACCTTGAAGTATTTTGTAGAGATCTTGTCCACAGGATAGATGTACTTTCGTTGGTGTGGGGAAAGTGATGGTGTAATGCTTGTCGTCCAGTTCTTCGTAAGCTGGTTTATCTAGGGTGACTGTATACGGGTTACATACTGCATTCGTCTGTTGCTTAGTGATGAGGTGATGGATGCAATCAGGGGATGTTTGACTTCTCAGGCTCCGCTTTTCTTTACAGATGTACCATTTACTGGTCTTCGGGCATTCTGCCTCTATGTACTGAAAATCTTTCTGATAAATGGCTAGGAATGGAAAGGGTGGTGTGAGGATTTCGTGTCTCTTGTTAGGAACAATAGATAACTTATACATATCATATATATGGGGTAATAGAATTGGGAACTTAAATACTATTACTATTTCATTTCCTACATAATATGAACCTAATCTAATAATATCATAATATTCCCTAATATCTAAATCTCCTACCTTTTTATTTCCATAAAGTTCGGTTGCTCTGTTAATCATTATTCGGATAGATTTTAAATTAACTATAGAGTGGTGCATAGTGTTAGCTCTTATAAATGCTAAGTTGTTCTGTAACTTAATTAATTCCTGTGAAATGGAATCAACGTTATCACTAAGGATCATTAGTACTTGTCCAAAATGGGCATATTTAATTAGGTCATAGTCTCTGGTAGCCTCGGATTGATTTATTTTACCTATTAGTATTTCTAATTTATTTTGATTATCTACAATGCTATCTATTATTCTGGAGTATTGATTTGATAAATCTTTAGTTAGGCTTACATGATTATTAAATTCCGTAACGATTTTATTTTCGTCTTCGTGGATGGATTTTATAGCACGATTAAAATGATCTGCATCTGTATAATCAAGGTTACCAGTTATACTTTTTATGATGGAACCGAGACCATCTACAAGTCCTCTTTTCTCACGGTTCGTTTTAAAGCTACTCAACTGTATGGTGACACTTTCAAGCTTATTTTTAAGATAATCAATATGAGGCTGAAATAACGAATTGGTTATGTTGTTAAGGTTAGGGCTAATACTGATTAACTGTGTTTTAACTGAATTTACTTTATCTCCTAATTCCTGGAGATTTACATATTGCAGAAATGCATGGTAGTGGGATAGGATTCGAGCGGGGCCTAATTTGAAGGGTAATATACCAGGTCCATCGCTAAGACTTTCAAGTCTTATCTCCTGCATTAGAGCTGGTCCCAGAAGGAGATGAAGTACCAGGAGAGTCCTGTAACAATTGGTTCGTTTTAGGTATTCTCTTCAATCGAGTTTTTGCTACGGGGCCTCGTTTTTTCTTTGTATAAATGTGAATTGGGAGGTTTGCCATAACTGTGTCGTGTGTGTATCGAGGAGCTAATTTCTGACGGGATGCGAATGGATTTTTTATAAAGATTTGTTGTTCCGGGGAATATTCAGCTTCCTGTTCTCGGTTTTTATTGCGAGTATTAGTCAAGTCTTTACGCATGTCGTTACATAGATCGTGAATAGTTTTATAGGTCTCAGTCATTCTGTCTTTGTGGTTTACGACGTACTGTTGAAGTAAGTGGGCGGACAGATCTATGTCAAAAGGATCGCGAGGGTCAAAATGTCCTGTAATTACTTCTATTGGTTTGCATTTTGTGAAGCTATGTATACTATGATTGTAAGCTAATAGGGCATAGGGCATAAGGTTAATAGCGGATTCATTCTTTTGATTTATCTTTAAAATACGGAGATGTTCTAATATGGTGGCGTGAAATCGTTCAACGATACCATTTTCGTTGGGTGCATGTGGGGCTACTCTATGGTGCTGAATTTTATGAAGTCTAACGAATTCTGCAATAAGTTGGTTGGTAAACTCAGGGCCGTTATCGGAAACTATGGTAATTGGAATTCCATGATGTGTGCAGAAAATTAGTAAAGCTTGTACTACACTGACAGCAGTGCCGTCTCGCAAATAATACGCCTGAGCATATTTAGAAAAACTATCTACTATTGTCAAATACTTTTCCCCTTGAATTGTTAATAGATCTACGTGAACTAGTTCAAAAGGCTTAGAAGCTGGTGGTACAATTTTAAATTTCTGTTTAACTGGATTGCGGTCGTATTTAGCTTGTCCGCATACTGTACAGTCATTAATAAATTTAGTGATATGCTCTCTCATTTTCGGCCAGTAATATTTGCGGGACAAAGCCGAGAAACACTCGTTAATGCCTCGATGGTTCGTCTTTCCATCGTGATATTTATGAATGATTTCTTGCTGTCTTAAATACTCCCTAACATTTTCCAATTCAGTTTTTGTTAGAAAAAGGTTAAGAGATGAACTTTTAAAAGACTTTTGTATGATTGGTATGACAGTGTACATTGCAGAGTTTGGATTAATGAGTAATCCTGTCCTAATTTTCGGATGGACGTATTCTTTTATAGCATTAATGACATCCTCTTCTATGTTTGATTGAGCTATTTGTATCGTAATGCGTGTGTGTGTTTCGAATGGTTTAGTGATGACTGGTCTAGCTTTTATGTCGCCTACTATATTTAAGATTATCTGTTTAGTAAACTTATTTAGCGGTTCGTCAGAAATGGGAACTTCCAGGATGGGGTTTTCTTTATCTGTATGAACGGTGATGGTTCTGGAATCGTCTGCGGCTTCGGTAGCCGTTATAGTCCTAGAGTCATCTAAAGTGTGTACCCCTTCGGAAGGGTTAGGTAAAATGGAAAGCAATTCATCTATTATGGGTCTTAGCTCGTCATTGTGAAGTTCGATGCGCGATAGTGCATCGGCATTCGTGTTGCACTTGCCTTGCTTATATACGACACTAAAGTCATATTCACTTAACTTAAGGCGCCATCTGGTTAGACGCGAATTGGGTTCTTTTAAGCTCATAATCCATTGTAAGGGTTTATGGTCTGTAATAATTTTGAACTTACGGCCGAATAAATAGGGACGGAAATACTTAGTCGCCCATACGATAGCTAAAAGTTCCTTTTCTATCGTGCTATAGTTACTTTCGCTGGAGTTAAGTGTACGAGAAGCATATGCAATGGGTTTATCTGAACCGACTGTTCCCTGTGATAAAACTGCACCAATCGCCACGTTTGAGGCATCGGTTGTCAAAATAAAATCTCTACTGAAGTCTGGATACTGTAAGATTGGGTCATTTGTTAAGAGAGTTTTACAGTGTTCAAAGCAGTTAATATAATTTTGATCTAATGTTATCTTTGATCCCTTTTTAAGACATTGAGTGAGTGGTTTTGTGAGACGTGCGAAGTCTGGTATAAATTTTCTATAATATCCTAGAAGTCCTAGAAAACGCTTAATTTCGGTTGTAGTTTTTGGCAGTGGGTACTTTTCGATGGCTTTAATTTTGTCTGGGTTGGGTTTAACCCCGTTTTTACAAATAACATGACCTAGAAACTCGGTTTCCAGCTTCAAAAACTCTGATTTATCCATCTGAATTTTGAAGTTGGATTCCCGTAGCCTTTTGAATACTTTTTCCAGATTTGTCATATGTTCTTGTAAGGATGTACTGAAGACAATTATGTCATCTAGATACACTAAGCAAATTTCGTTCTGTAAGTTCTTTAATACGTTGTCCATCACCCTTTGGAAGGTCGATGGACTATTTTTCAGGCCCATTGGCATCCTAAGAAATTCGTAATGCCCATTCTCTACATTAAAAGCAGTTTTGTGAATGTCCGCGGGATCCATTTCTACCTGATAAAATCCACTGGCTAAATCGAGCGTGGTAAAGTACTGACATTTGCCCAGTTTGTCTAGAACATCGGTTATATTAGGAATAGGATATTTGTCATCGACTGTCTTTTCATTCACCTTCCTGAAGTCCACAACTAGACGCCATTTTATTTTGCCGGAAGCGTCCGCCTTTTTGGGTACAATCCAAATAGGAGAGCTCCAAGCAGAGTCCGATGGTCTAATTATATTTTGCTCGAGCATCTTATTGATCTGGTCTCGGACTTCCTGTCGGTGGACATACGGGTATCTGTAGCTCTTAGTATGTACGGGGATTTCATCATGTGTTTTAATTCTATGTTTGATCTTGTTGGTGAATGTTAAAGGTTCACCATCAAGGTAAAACACGTCGGCATACGAGGCACATAACCGTTGTAGGTTTGCTAGCTCTTCAGGATTAAGATGATCGGTGCGAAGACGGGATAGAACATTTTTAGCGCGATCCGATAACGTTTCAGTAAACTGGCACTCGACATTATATATTTCGGCTTCTACCGGACGGTCCATTGAAAAAATTACATCATTTGAGCTATTATTGGTAATTTCGACCCAACCACGATTATTAATTACTTTCGTTATACAATCAGAGATTATGCAGTTGCAAATTATTTGATTTTCAACTACTACGTCACCGTCCTTTGAGTTTATAGGCAACCTAACTAATTTTGATGACTGCGCGGGTATAATTTCTTCATATAAATTTGCGTTACGTGAGTCATACATTTCGATGGGAATTTTTGCGTTACGAGTAATAAGTAATTTATTTCTAAGATCGATATTAGAACCCCATATGTCTAGTAAATCAAACCCTATCAGTCCGTCGAAGTAATTATGAAATCTATAAACGAACAAGGTTATATTATCTCGTTCATTAAGTTCTAAAGGGCAAGGGAGAGTTATAGAATAATCATTTTTACTTGTCGCGTGAACATTGGTGACTTCGAATGGGTCATAATTCAGTGGAATATGGCTAAAATATTTTCTTACAGCTTCGGGACTAATAAACGATTGGTTTGCGCCGGTGTCTATTAAGAATTTCAGTGGGGGATTACTTGTCTGAATGTAACCGAGTTGCCTTTGTATGTGGAAATTTATTTCTATTTTTGTTTTTCTGGTTTGGGGCACTTCCGAAAATCCTCATCATTAGTCGGGGTGAAATTAGTCTCTACTTCCTCTACGATAGGAGCTTCCGCGTGGTTATACGGTGGCTCGTATCCATAGTTAGGATATTGTTCGTAAGTACAGTACTCTTGATTATAGTTATAGTCAGGATAGTCGTATTCATAGTACGCGTCGGTGCTATAGTCGTAGTCAAAATCCGTCTCGTTAAAGTTTACCTCCCGTGTTTTAAAGTAATTGCTCGGCGGTGGGTTGCCAAATCGTCTCCAGTCATGTCCAGTCGGTGGTAAGGGTTTCGGAACAAAGGGAGTGACACCGCTCATAGGAGAAGGGCGCGAATTATTATTTAAATTGAAGCCCTGTGGTTGCTGAGGTCTGTTAGGAAGCTTAAACACATTACTCTGGGGGTTATAATTTGGTGGAGGAGCACGCATCATCTGTTGCGTACGAGTGGGTCCGCGTGGTACATGCATCTGGGGTGGTAGATTGGGCCTCCAACCCTGTGCAGCATGCGGTTGCATAGGTGGCTGTCTAAACGAGTTCAGTATATTATTACCCTGTGGTCTAGGTAGTGACGGCATGTTAAATGTGGTAGGTTTTGGAACGAAATGATTTAATGGTAGATTAGAGCTAGGGGTAGATTGAGTCCATTCTTTCCTGTTCTGGCTGCCTTCATTTCGTTGTTGGAGGTAAAGGGTGTTTAATTCCTCCTGTACGAATTCAAGTGCTTTCTCCATACTTTCGGGACGCATACATCTTATTCTAGACCCTAGGGGGTCTTTTAATCCGCGTAAATAAGCTTGCAAGGTCAGTTTTTTATAGAGTGCGCGCTTAGCTTCAATTGTCGTACTAATGGTTTCATGTAAAGTGACATAGGTCATTATTGTACTAAATAAACTTTGGACTCGCTCGTAAAATTCTTGCGGGGTACTAGACCCTTGGGTTTGTAGTGATAAATCACTGTATAATGCGGTTTCGTCGCGATGGTCGGCGAAGTTATTTATAAGAGCGCTTTTGATGCCGGCCCAGGTTTCGGGTATTCCATTCGAATTTATTAGCCTAGCCGCGGATCCCGTTATTTTATTTAAAATCCCGTTAATAAGAGAAAGATTGGCTAGTTCGTATCCGGGCTCATTTCTTACGTGGGCTAACACAAGTTGATCGCACAGGTTAATAAAGCGCGTAAGGATGTACGGGTTACCGTCAAATTCGGGCAAAACTCTAAGTGACTTATAAATTAGGTCTATTTCATTTGATTGGGCCATACTATCGGTCTCTAAACCTCTGTTCTCGTCTATAATACTAAGCTTAGAAATCCTACTACTATCTAACCTAACGTTCCGTGTTCCCCTTGGATGGAAAATTTTGGAAGCTTTATACTAACACAGTTAAAATGCAATAAAATACAATAGAAAAAAAAAGGTGTATATAAAATTAGGATAGAGTAAAAAATTAATTACGGAACTAGGAAGGGTAAGGATTGAAAGATTCAAGCACTTACAGCATTACTTCTTCTTGCGGAATCAATGCCTGGATTCGCCTCTGGACTGGTGCTCCCGTAGGTTCTGTATCTTCTTGGTCACTCTTGATTCACTGACTCTACTTTAGAAGATCCTACCGACTGCGCCAATTATGTGGGCTCCAGCCAGAGGTTGCAAAAAAAAGCAATCTTTATTTAATATATATTTAATTTAAAGTAATTATTACAATTAATTCTTATAACTAAGTGAGGTGACTCTAATTCGATGTTTGAATGTAGAATGGATTCACACGGTAAAATATTAGATCCAGGTAATATAAGACAGTAGACACGTTATGCTGACACGGCGCCTCGTGATCGTCGTAAGCCGATGCAACGCAGCAGATTGCCTGGATTAGGGCTGCGTAACAAGGTCACCTAGGTGTTACAAATTATTAAGAAGGATGATTTGCCTGCCAACACCTAGTTCATTAAAAGCGTTACTAAGCAAGTTTCACATGAAAGTTGGTATTAATGACCAAATTTTTAATGTTTTGAAAAAAACAATAAAGCAACAGACTCCCTCAGACAATGAGTATATCCTTATGTTTGATGAGATGTCAATAAAAAAGAATTTGTTTTCAACAAAAAGGAGGACATAATTGAGCGTTATCAAGACCATGCACTGCGGGGCAGGTCACCACAAATGGCAACACATGCCCTCGTGTTCATGATTGGCGGAATCCGTAAAAAGCTGAAACAACGAATTGCTTATTATTTTTCTAGTGGATCTGTGACTGCAGATAGGCTGTCAGTTCTTATAAAGGAGGTGAGCATTATGGTTTTTTATTTGTTATTATGTCAATATAAGTAGTAGTACTTTTTTACCATATTCATTTACCCTTTTATCATTCTAGGTCCTGCAACATTGTTTTGATGCTGGAATTAATATTTCAGCTACAGTGTGTGATATGGATGGTGTGAATAAGAGAGCTTTAAGTATCTTGGGAGCATCTGTAGAACAGCCATATATTCTGCTAAATAATCGAGAAGTGGTTACCATTTTAGATTCTCCGCATTTGCGCAAATGCTTTAGAAATATGTTTTTAAAATATGACATTAAATGTCCAACAAATATAACATCAAATGATCAAATTGGATTTGGTAAGATATTTTGTTTTATTACAATCATAATATTATACATATTTCCAATTTACTGGATATTTACACAATTTTTTTTTACAGGTGTTGCTAAATGGAGCCATATAAAGGAGTTTTATGAAACAGATAACACCAATCCCAATTTTGTGTTTGCACCTTGCTTAAAACAAGAACATTTAAATCCAAATACGAAGCAGAAGATGAAGGTGAAGCTAGCTGCACAAGTGTTAAGCCACTCAGTTGCTGCAGGAATGTATGCTAAAATTTCACAAGGTAAATTAAATTTATAATTTAAAGTATAATATTTAAACATATGTCCACCCATTAAAATAATTATTAACTTAAAAAGGAACTAGGCTCTCCCAAGTACAAATTATTGTTTATTGTATGATACTGATATGTGATATTATTTTTGAGTTGTCTTGTAACATACTTTAAATCATGTTTCTTTAATCCTAATAGTAAGATCTTAAATTATGTGTTGTTTACAGGGGAACTCTCTTCAGAGGCTGTCACTACAGCTAATGTTATTGCAAATATGGACAAGCTGTTTGATTGTGTCAACGCATGCACACCAGACCTAAGAAGAGGGAAACTATATTCGACAAACATGACAAATAATACACCACATCTCACACATTTCACTTTAATGAAGAATTTTTTTAAAGATATGACGTTTTTGGGATGCAAACGAGCTCCTCCATCCCAAGAAGGTTGGATATGGTCCATCAATGGAATAGAACGAATTTGGAGAAATCTCAGTTCTCAACATAAATCAATAAAAAGTTTGGAAACAAGAAGGCTCCAGCAGGACCCGTTAGAAAATCTTTTTGGATGCATTCGGGCCAATTGTGGCTGCAATTCAAATCCCACTGCTGGGCAGTTTGTTGCGGGTCTTAAAACGGCTGTCCTTAGCAACTTATCTTTTATTGGGACAGGAAATTGTGAAAAAGACCAAAATCAAGTTATATTGACAAATTTTAAATCTTTATTGTCTCCACCCACAGACACACACACTGCTTATGCCACAATTTTAACCAATGAGTTAGAAGAAAGTGTAAATTCTACATTTGAATGTAGCTTGGAAGAAAGCAGTGGCGAAATACAAGCATGTGCCTATGTCTGTGAGTTTATAGTAAAAAATAATCTCAACAAATGTGAAATTTGTAAAAAAATTTTTGTATCTCAGACACAAGAGAGATCACATACTTTTATTGACTTTAAATAATATAGTGTTCTAAAAAAGTCCCTTAAATACGCCTCTAAAAACCTCATTAACTGTATTGAAAGTAGTGCTACGATGATTTATGATTTTTTTGAGGCAGAAGCATATAAAAAAAATTAAAAGGGACAATTAAAGTTTTGTTCAAAAACTCAATAAATTGGGAGTTTCTCGATGAATGTCCAGAACATAAAGATATGAATATAGATTACTTATTTAATAGCGTATTTCACATTTGTATGAAGAGATTTTGTATTTTGAAAAATC